GTCCCCAGAAACCAGTCCCCAGAAACCACTTCCCAGAAACCACTCCCCAGAAGCCACTTCCCAGAAACCAGTTCCCAGAAACCATTCCCAGAAACCACTCCCCAGAAACCACTTCCCAGAAACCAGCCCCCCAGAAACCACTTCCCAGACAGCAGCCAAGGAAGGAAGGCATGCTGGTGGAGGATGGAAGGGATGACTTCCAGAGGAGGGCTCACATAAGCAGCTCTACGTTGCGGCGATTGGGTCGCAGAGGACACCTTTGATACAGGACGTGAGTGCGGGAGCTGGCAAATGATGGGAGGAATTGATGCGAGAAGTCGGCGACACCTACAGCACTTGACTAGCATCAGATCCACTTGCACGGCTGTCCGTTCAGATCCCAGTCAAACACAATGCGTCACGGTTGGAGGGGCGAGTCACGAGCCTCTTGCTTGCATCGCTGCCTCAGTCACTCAAGTCCGAGATCATCGATTCACGAAAACTCACTGCAGACAGTGAGAGACAATAGCAACTGGGGGAGGTATCAGCACATCCTCAATGATCATGTGCCACACAGTGCTTGAGGGGTGCAGGCCAGGATCGTCCCAGGCTGAGGCAAGACCACCCGAGTGCCTTCGTCATGGCAGTTGATGTGGCGGGTCCTTTCGCACCTGGCTGTGATCAGGACATGACAACTCCGCTATTTATTTCGTGGCGGCGACAGTCACAGTACCAGTCCGACACGACAGACCGCTGATCTGGGGGTGGTGACCCGATGAGACCGTGGAAGAAGGTGCAGAGCACACGTTCCAAAATCGGCTGGAGCTGATGCCGGAAGACCAAGAACCCAATCCTTGCAAGGGGACTCCAGAAGATGCGGGCAAGGCACTGCTTGAGCCGTCATCTGACCTTGGCGACACCCTTGCTCAATCGGAAAGAGGCGACGGTGATTGCTGCTACTTCAAAACTGTCTGCTCGGCATCGTGCCCTACAAGCTTCGTGCTTCACTTGAAAACGGACAGAGCGAAGGAGTTTGTGTCCAAGCGATTTCGTGAGTGGACTGCTACAAGAGACTTGGAGCATTGCTACACGGCAGGCGACGAGGCCACTGCGAATTCACGTGCAGAAATTGTAGCGGGAGTTCTCAAGAATGCCACTCGTGGCAGCTGGACTGACAGTCCGCGACTGGCCAACTGCACTACGCCATGCGGCGGAAGAGAGACGCCGAGGCCAGCTGCGAGCTCTAGGACCAGGTTGTGCCTTATGGTTGCAAAGCTATGGCGCGGACAAAGTCATGGCGCCGTCGCTTCGACGAATGGAAGTACCCCATGATCTGGGCGATGGTCATGGGCCCCGCCGAAGGCATGGCCGCAACGGCGGGCGCCTACTGGGCACATGCCCTGGACGGACACGGATTCTGTACCAGTGATAGTCCAGCCCCGTCGAACGGCGACCATTGAGGGGGGGTCCAGTCGGCAACACCCACATGCGAATAAAATGATACCAAAATCAATAGAATCACTTCACTAACTGACAACATCGAGGCGATCCCCTAGAATTGCCATGAATTGCCCCGTTTCGCCAGGCCACGGCCACAAGGCTGGAGCGCTTTGTGGCGGACCCAGGGGTGGTGGCAAGGGCGTTGGGGGCTCCTGTCGTCGCACAGCTTGTGTCGATCTTGAAAGGTCGAAAAGGAGAGAGGCAAGGCTCTGTTCATCTCTGTTGTTTAAAGACCAAGCAGTTGACAACTTGAAACCTTGACTCAAAAAACTGCTCTACCTGGGATCTCTGAGGCGGTCTGATTCGATGTTCAACCGTGCAATAACTTGCCAGCATTAGTGGCTGCAAGACGCATGCACTCGGGCCACTATTCACTATTCCAGTTTCCAACTTCAACTTGCAATCTCAGATTGCACGGCCAACCCCCCTGAGGAAGGCATCTGCAGTGCATGAAAACACAGGCCTTGCAGGCATAGACACCAGTAGAATGGAGCTCATCTTTGTCTACACAGTGCATGCCAACCTTGGTTGTCCATCTCTCCGTCAGTGTTGAATCCACAATTCTGATTGTAAGGGCCATCTGTGACTACCGAATTCTTACATTTGATTCAATCTACAAGTGTTCAGTGTTGCGAGTCGATTGACCAGCCCGGGCGTGTTTCACTAGTGCAGCCCAGTTTGCCACGGAACGCCCAGCAAAGGCTTTGAGCAGCTGCTCCACACAGCTCAGCCCCTCCTGGCCGAAGACACATCGAATCGCAAAGTAAGGATGCATCCTAAGACATAATGCACCCTGTGTGTATCGAGCCCAACATGAAATCCAACAAGCCCAATAAAGGAATGAAAAGAGCCGCACTAAGTATCACGATCTTTTACTATATCTCTTGCAAGCATGAGGCGGCTGGCAAAGCCATCCAATTCAGCGTCACACTGAAGTGCACAAACCACGTGACTCCATTGCCATGCGTGATGTTGTCACCACATAAAGAAGCCCAAGACAGTTGAATGAACAAACCGGCACCACGCTGTCAACAAAGACTTGTGAGATGAGAGTTTAGCCTATTCCTGATGGATATACAGTAGATGTTGAGACTCAATGTCTAAAGAATGATTGAGTAGTCAACAATCAAAATCAGATATGTATAAATATGTATATATTACAATTGCAACAAGATAGTGTCAGATATGAAAGGTCAAGCTGGGTCCAAAACTGAAACAAATCCCAAAAATGAGACCTACATCCACCTGACTTGAAAGATTGCAGGTGAGTCTTGGGCACGACGCTCGAACATAAACTTGTTACATATCTCAACTTCGCGAATGAATGAGAATGGCCACTCTGTGACTGTCAACCAGCTCTCAAGAATTGATTTAGCTCACAAACTGGAGCAGTGGGAACCAGTCAGCACAGAACACAAACTGAAAGACAATAACTGGGTCAAAGCCTGTAACCCCTATGTACAGCCCCATGATCATCAATGATCCGCTGTGCTGGTCCCCCCCATCGTTTGAAGCGTCTGGTGCGACCCCTGACGATGTCGACGGCTATCCAATCCCGTCCGTCCATCAGGTCCTGAGAGGTGGACCGACAGAAATGGTCACCCCAGGCTAAGAGGAAGGCCTCCCCTTCAACCTCCGCAGAACGAAAGTGATCCAAACCGAACATCCGCGGTTTGGTGATCACTGGTGGCCCCGCACCCGCACCTTTGGTGGAAGAATGTCGAAGTATCGAGAAGCTAGGTACCCATGGGTACCCATGTTTGACCCATTGTCTATGAATGCATGGGTCCTTGTGGTTCCGAGAGAGGCCTTCGCCAATTAGGTTGGAGGCCATCACAGAAACGGCAGCTTCTCTACCTGGGCAGGTGCCCACACTGCGACCACACTGCCACCACAGCCTCACGCTCACAAAGCAGCAAGGCATCCCGGATGCTTGACGGCTTCTCTTGGCGCACAAAAGTAATCTTCTCGCCTCACCAGGTCATCTACCGGTGGGTTTATGATACCAGAATCAACGAAAGAACGGTACAATAAAACAAAAGAACACGTAAGCTTGCATTGTTTCAGCCTGCTGCTAGGGATTTGGTTGAGTTTGTGTTGAGGTCATTGCTGTCCTTTGTGTCAAGGACACCTCTGTGCGAATGTTATTGAATCGTCCTCCAAACAAGGTTGCCAAAATGACCATCCCTGAAGTTAACACCAAGAACTCCCACCCATAGCCTATGGCGAGGAGCACCTCATCATAGCCATCCACGTGCTGTGAGGCCGAATCCAGCACGGCCACCTCTGAACCAAAAGAACACCAACGGGGATGGAAGAGATCCGAAAGGCCGAAAGGTCTTTCCACTTTGAGACAGTACTGTAAACCAGGACTCCCTCCAAACCACTACTGTACTCCCAACACACCTGGCCACACTGGGTGCGCTGACAGAGTACATGAGTACACTGGGTAGAGTTTGTCTCGCACCCATGAGGAAAGAGCCAACGCTGAGAATCACTAAGACCCATTGGCCCATTGTGCTCTGTTCAAGGAAGGGCAAGTTGGAAGGTGGTTGCAAGGGCCTACGAACACAACCCCAAAGACCTATGCAGCAAAATTAAAGGATCCCTTTGCAACTACAATTGGACCCCACAGAATAAGTGAGAGCTGAACGCTTTCAAAACTTTCTCAGCATCATTTAACCTGCAACTGCTGAAAGCCATGGGCCTCCTCTCGCTGTTTGAAGAGTCTTGTCATCTCCATTTCAGTGGTTTGGTTCACCACTAGGAGAATTCTTTCCTCGGCCGGGAAAAGAAAAGAAGCGAATCGAGTGCCAGGCGGTAAGGCTGTACGGCACGACATCTCAACTCGACTGTGCATACAAGTGACAAGACCTGCTTCAACCAGTTCTTCGCAGAGCCTGACGGGAAGGCAAAATATACAAGTAGTTACAATAACAATAACAGTCATAATCACCACAGAGGTCGACAGGCCCGAATGGGTTCTACGAGAGACCTCAGACCAAAGCAGAAAAAATACAGCTGGTCCAGGAAGTCGTCCATCGTCCCCGAAGGGGAAGAGACATCGAACTCCGGTCTCTCCATACAAGCCATGCCTCATCCCCATCCTAGCACGTTCTTACATCGGAGGAAACCCGACTATGCAACTTGTGGCAACACCTGTCAAGCTTCGCACAAGGAATCCAGTCGAGGCCAATGCAGTCTGTGCTGAAACCCTTCAATATCCCTCATGTGCGATCCTCTTTGTGCCCAAGAGCTATGATTCACCTGGGGCTCCACACCATGCGATGGCTGGCTTCACCATGCGCTGCTTTCTCACCGGGAAGAGCCAGGGTCCCACACACTTTGTTGCAGGCCACATGCCACTGCAAGCACCTACCAAAGCACTAATCCGAATTCCCCCCAACGCGTTGCTTCGGACTAGCATTGCTTTGGCCCAGCTTCCTGGGATCAAGTGGCGGTGCCATACCAGTAATCCGACGCAGATCGTCCCTGGAATAGGATACAAACCCTTGCTGAATCCCTGTTTCATTCACGCTTAAAGTCCAATGGCTTCCAAATAAGCATAAAATCTTGTCTTGATAGAGGAGAAGCAAAGAAAATTCAAGACAGCTGAAATGTAAAGAAGAAAGCTTCAAAATCCCGAAGAGAGAAGTGCGAATTACACAGTCTGGTCGAGGGACGTCATCCTTTCATGATTACGCAGAGGTGCCTACTACATCTACTAGCAATAACAATGGGCATCGCCGCATCGCTACTAATAGCAAGAAGCTACTAGTATCTACTAGTAGCTCCTGAGTAACAAGAAGCTACTAGTAACAAAGGTAGCAAAACTGTTCCCCCCCGCAATCCGAAGTTTGCCTGCAATAGGCACAATGGCGGTTCGCACCGCCTTTTGCCTGGGGCGACCAGTAATTGCACTGCGAGAGTCTTGTCCAACCAATTCCTCACATAAAGAACGAGGGTACTCCAGAAACATGACTCCACCAGTCCTCCAGCAGTTTGCTGATGTCCAACTAATATTGTCACATATTCTAGGACGTACAAAAGCTCAACCATTAATTCCGCTGTCACTGGGCATCAAATTGGATAGAAATGACTCTGGAGGAGAGCATGGTACCTCCCCATACAGGCGTTCTGCTTTCAAATTGCACAATGTTGCACGTGGTTTCCATGCAAAACAAAGCACCATCACACACCAACACCCTGTTCTGGTCTGCATGCTGCCCAACTCCGGGGGCCCCGCTTTGGGATGGTGAGCTTCAGGGGCTCCATGTTCAAGGACTTCACGATCTTCACAGCCTCTTCCTCACTCGGTGCACAGCTGGCGTGCTACTTAGTCATATTCATCTCATGTCCAAACTCATCCAATGTTGGAAACTCACTGCTTGAAGTATTGTCAGAGGAAATAACTTTCCAACTTCTTCCCTGAGGTTTCCTTCCCGTGGAAGTACTATGGAAGCTGGCACTGGCCCTGCCTGGTCGGCGGCGGACTTGCACACCAGCTGCGCACTGCCATCGCCCTGCGATCCAACCTTGGAAAAAAGAAAAGCCTGCGCAATGTCCATCACTGAAACTGCCTTACATCTCTGTACTTGTCAGTTTCAGTGTCAGGAGCCTCAGAGAACTCAAACTGAGAACGAACGTTTACGTGGGTTATGTCTTGTAAGTTTTGGACGTGTTCCCTACCTACCAACAAAATCCTTTCCTTAGTCCCAAAACCTTTCCCTTTTGCACTCCAAAACACACCTTTGCCACCGGTGATGTGCGCTTGGAGCTGCGGATGTTCTAAGAGGCGGTGTAAGGACGGAGCCTCAGTCGGCCGGGCGGCATCGCTACGAACGGAGCAAGGACGCTACTAGGGGCTCCTGGCCTTACTACCAGTAACAAGAACGCTACTAGGAACAAAGGGCATCCCTACTAGTAACAAGGCTATTAGTGGCTCCTGGCATCGCTACTAGGAGCATTCTTACTAGTAACAAGAACGCAGCCATATACAACCTGACTACTTTGACCGTTCATCCTCTGTGAAGCTGAGGAGGTTCCTTGTCAAGGATCCGAATGAACAGGTGTCACCAAGATTTCTAGCGTTTTGGGGTTGGGCAAGTAGAAGTCATGCTCGAACCTGTAGACAGTACAATGAGGGAATCAGACATAGCATCCAGGCGTCTGCCAAGCAAAGTGGCCATCAAGGCGTGGTCAGTAGGTGACCCAGAGTGGAAAAGAACGCTCAAAAGGCATGAAAAGTTCATGCAAGATTAAAGCTTCGGAGTGGTGACCCCGTTGCCGCTTTCCAAGTCAAGCACAATAGCTTTCAGGATTGGGGGAAGTTTGGGAGATGCTCCTTCATTTGATTGCCAACTTCGATTTCATGATCCACAACTCATTGGTCAGTTCTCTCTTCAAGTCATTTGCCTTGTGGCCTCACCTGCTTCCTTTTAGATAGGTTTGCACCAGTTTATTCGGACATCTCGGCTGGATGGAACCGCAAGATCGTTTCTTTCACTGGTCCAGGTCCAGCCCCATTGCCTTCAATTCATGAGGGCAAAGTGGTACAGCAATCTGATCCCAGCGGGCCTGGGCCTTGCTCATGGCCTGCAGAACTTCACTAGCTTGGTCGAGCAAATGTGTTTTTTGAATCCATCATTTTGAAGTACACTCAGCCAAAATAACAATGGTGACAAATGAACTAATTATTGCATTATCTCCCCAGCGACCAGTGAGCTCATTCATAACTTATATCGAGGGATGCCCTCAAGCATGATGTTCGTGCTTTGCTCATTCCTCCAATTGTCACACTTGGGCACCCCCGCTGGTCTCAGGACCTAGTTTCTGCACTCGTCTTATATATAAATATAGTTATATATAGAAGATCAAATTTCGTGCAGGTTTGGCTGGATGTGTGGTTGATCTTTATGTATATCTATAGTAATATATAGTAATATATAGTAATATATCGTAATATGTGATTTACAGTATGTGTACATAACAGAGTGTTCATCTGTAGCCTACAGAGCCGTTTTAAGCCTCTGGATTGTGAGATGGTGGTTCAACCTTAGTCTTATCTTCACCCGCTTGTGGACAAGACTTCCAGACTGAACTGCGCCTGGCCAAGGCGCTCGGCAGCGCAGCGTTCATCTCGCTCGCCAAGAATTTCTTGAGCTTCCTCGCCTGAAGTTCACCGAGAAAATCAGAAGAGGACAAGAAGTACAACTGTGGATCATCTAGATGCTGGCTAGTCTAGCTGCCATGAGGAAGTTACAATCCAAAGTGCAGGTTACGTGTCCGGTGTTCAGAAGCGACGGGAGTCATGAAATATAATCTTGTCTGTTTTATCCCCAGATATTCATGCACATGCCCATCAAGGAAGCAGCCAAAACATTCACAGCAAGTGCTTATTTCGGAGAAGACTGCAAAGTACACTTGTTGTTATATGGCTATTGTGCCTCCCCGAACCAGAATAGACACAGTTCGGTGGAGAAGTAGGGAAAGTAGTGCAGTCTGACAATGGCTGTCATCTTGCATCTGCCACCAGGTGACATACTTGTTGGTTCATCTCTCCAAGCAACGCATGCAATGCTTTGTCTGCATCGTGGCGAGGGAAAGGGTATGCCTCTCGCCGGTCATCCCGCGGAGAAGAGTGTTGTTTACTTTGGATGACTAGCCCATTGGTTGACCAAGATCGCAACAAAGGAGGTGGTGCCTGCGTGCGAATGACCCATAATGCCATAATGAGCCCATATGACCAATCCTCCCGACTGTACTCAGGTTTCGAAGTGGGTTGCCCTCCAAGCCAGTTTACGCATAAATGAGGTTTCTAGCCCACGCTGAAATTGTAGGTTCCTCGAGGGAACGCTACTGACTATCATCCCAAAAGTGGGGCTTTCAGAAAATACCCCGAGACACCCCAGGTCCAGACCTCTCTCCTTAACCACTGAGACGGACCTCTCTCCTAACCAGCATTGAAGCCAAAGCCAAAGTCTTCCAACACCAAGGTACTGGGCCACAGTTGTCCTGTGCATGGCAACCATGGTAACCTCCCTGAGCCTCTGCTGAGTATCCAGCCTCGTTCAAACACTTGAGGATCTCTTTGGTGTCCTTCCCCGTCGAACAAAACTGCAGAGATCCCTGCTCCCACGTCTCTATCACCAAGCACCTTTTTTCTGAAAGCACTCAAATGATTGTTGGTTTCAAGTTTCAAGCGGTATATCCGCTTGGCACCACTAGGACAATTGTGTTTCTTCTTGAAGGTTCCAAATTGACAACTCTTTCCGCATAGAATCCTGCTAGACGCCTTGTGTCACCTCACACAGTCGAATGTCCTTCCTCCAAAGTTGTTTACTTGTTATAAAGTTTAAAAGAGGATGATAACTTACTGCCCACACTGACGACGCAAAATAGACTTCTTAAATCGACCGCAGCTGATCCACATAGACGTTATATGATGTCAAAAAAGAGAACACGTTCTTCCTCTTGAAATATCCTTGCTCAGTGGCCATCCAGCATCTGCAACGTGAATCACTACCAACTTGTGTCACACTGCTGTCGCCATTGCAGGCAGTCTTTGAGCAGTGGATTCCCCAGCTTGGGCGCTCTTAGGGAGTGTTCTGTCCTTTTTGGCACAAAGGTCCACCACCACCATGTAGATGGTGGACGCAGCCCTCACCGACTCTGTGGACAACAAGTCAGAGTCAAAGCTCATCTTCGTGACCTGAGGGAGCTTCTGACTCCATGAACTTCAAGTGATTCGATGATGTGTCTTTAAAAAAAAAGGTTTGCCAAGCTTAAACTGCCCTCACGTTCCTCATCGTGTAGTATCATGAGGCAAGCTTTCAGACAGCTCTGGACCTACAAGACAACCAGGTCCCCAGGCTGCGCGCCCAAAGGCCACGCATTGGTCCATCCGTCCGCAGCGGGAGGGCGTCTGGATCTCCCCGCGGTAAGCGATGTCCATCTCCCCGTGCACGGTGAGCTTTAAGTCCTCATGGTAGGACGGCGACGGGGAGAACCAAAGAAGAAGAAGAAGAAGAAGAAAAAATAGTTTAAAAAGAAAGAAGAACTGAATCAAAAAAACTGACAGAACATAGCCCTGTAGAGGACTCCTTTGACTCAAAAAGGGAACGAATTATATACGTGTTGTCTTTTGCTCCTCTATTTGGGACACAAAAACATCTGCATGCGGGCCCTGTTTGGATGCACATGCTGAAGGATCCTCATAGGCAACTGATTCCGGACTTTGCTATAGCAGCTAGCATGTGTCCAAGCTCCTGTGGGTGTCACAAGACGCAAATCATAGCTATTTTGAGTATCCAGTGCCCACCGAACTAAACTTCTAGCTCTTCTTCTTGAGCATTGTGTCACGACAGAGTTGATCCAAGGCACGTACAACTTGTTGAGTGCACGCACAATCAAAACACAAATTGCTGCCGATGAAGACAGGCCCTTCCTTGGATAGCTGCCCTCCCACTGCAGCTGCTAGTGCAGGTAGAAAGATTTAATTAGCGCAATCATATCAGCCCTCAAACCCGAAACTTGATGTTGCATCCTGTGAATACTGGACCTCGCAGAACGGGTATGAAAAGGTTCTTACAACACGCATCTGTAGAATGGCTGCTGGGCCCTAGATTTCCCAAAAGCGCGACATCCATCCACTAATACAGGTGAGCAGGGTTGGGGCTACCTATTGTCAGTTTGTCTTCACACATCCAGACGTCCTGACCGGTTCAACATTCAATGCTTTTGCGCTCCCCGCAAAATTCGCACAGTTGCTGGTGATTTGGTGTCGATGTGTTCACCCTGCCATTGCAAGACCGTATTCGCTAGAAATAAGACTACCCAATAATCCTGGAGATTGAGTTGAAGGCCCCTCCCCATGGGTTACATATGCATGCAAGATGACGGAAAGCCACTGGTGCTTCTGCGGATGATTTCAACAAGCCTGTCTAGAACAAAAAAAGGAAGGATCTATGGTCCCCCATCAGATACATCGATGTGATCGCTGCAAGATGGTGTGCTCTTGGCCTCCAATCTGCAAAACCATCGACCATCTGCCGAGGGGCTTGATCGGAAGGTCCGACTTGTAGTTGACAATGTCAGCCCCGCCCACGCGGAAGTGCTTTCCCAACTCCAGGACGCAACCTGGGAGTTCCAAAGACCAACTGACGGCATTTCCCAACTTGGCTCGGGACCTTGAAACTAGTCAAGGGCACCATCCGCTTTCTTAGGAGGGCTCCATTCCTTACGAAAACTGTTGGGATGGACCAGCAACATAGAAGATCCGGTCCGGCCAATAGAGACGAAACCGAAATCATCCCGACAAAGAGAAAAAAAGAACCGAGGGATGTTCCAAAACCTCTGTCTGATGCTGGTATCAATATAACATGTACCGACCACCAAATCTTTCTATCGAAACTGGATTGACCCCAACTGATTTTGGAGGAAGGCCACTGGCCACTGGCCACAGGGGCTTTCTACCGGGGGATGTGAAGACATCGCTGCTGTTGTGTTTTTGTAGAGAGAGAGAGAGAGCAGGTCACAAACAACAATAGAATGCCGCAGCGAGTCCAGGCACCCTCTCCGGAAGCAAATAATATTGCTCTGATTATCGTCCATCCAAACATGTCAATGCTATCTCCAAGCTGGGCATTGACAACCTTGACGGAGTCTTAGCTTTGCCTTGGGACAAATCCATGCTTGCCAAGAGGCCTGCAATGTAAGCGAAGACCGATGGCGACTGGGCCATCTGCCGAAGACCGCTTAGATCGTCCAGGTCTAGCTCCACACATTGATCGTCCGAGGAGGTGTAGCGCCTCAAAGGTGTGCTTTCATTCCACTATACCGTATAGCATCGTATACTCATGGCTTGGTACGACATAGACATAACTTCTAGTTGATAATCCTTTCTGAACTGGAAGCTTCACCTTCCACAAGGGTGGCAAGCTGAGCAATTTGGTGCTTACACAATACTGGATTGCATCCCATGGCAGCAGGCAAGTAAAAGCCCTTTGGTGACGGGCGGTCAAGCTTCGATGGGGGGAGGAAGGTGAGGAAGGGCACAGACACCTCCTATCTAAGTCCAGGAGTTCCCCAAACCCTAGCATGGATTGATTGTCTATCAATCTTGCTCTAAAGCCAGTGTCTCCATCAAGAGGATTGTCGCCACGGGGCAAGATCCTGCTGTCTCCTGAAATCTTCCGTGCACGGGCATAGAGGCCTGCCGCTGGAGGCTTTGGCATGTGGCTGCTGCGGAAAGTATGGATGTCTTTCTGCAGCAATAGTTTGGGGGCATACTCTAGGAGGCCTACAAAACAGACTCCCAGAAAAAGTTAACATTGAAGTGTTTGGACAGAAAAGCAAACATCAGCCCATGTGAGTTTACGTGGAAACATACTCAGGCATGGTGGAGCTTTCCTCGGCTCCATAGCTCACCGTCCACCTGAAGCGACTGTTTGGTCAGTGTTTGCTGCTCCTTGCCTTGGTCCGTGCCACAAACCAGTGCGCAGCCCGGAGCCACCTCCGAGTTGAAGCGCCGGTAGCCTGGGCACCGAAAGGTAAGAGACAAAGTCAGACAAAGTGAAAGAAACTATCAAAATCATCGAAGAGTGGAGGGGGCAAAACCCAAAGCCACATGTTCTCCCTATGTATATCATGGGACCTCTTGGGCTGGGCAAGGGCACACAGCCACATTGAGTAGACTCTAGGGTTCGTAGGTTGATCGGGAGCATCTAGAACTGGGTCCACGGCACAAGCTGCCACCGAGTTGCCACCAGCCCAATCCGAGTGCTCTCCGAAGAGGCAAATCCGGCCAGTGACGAAGAGTTCCACCACCCTGGGTTCCGGGACGGTCCGTGGGACATGTAAACGATTGTAAATGTAAGGGGGCCGTGCACCAATGGAACCCAAATCATGGATGGTGCACTCGTTGAGTATTTCGTTCCACCCAAAAACTCGCATGGAAAAGAGATCAAGTTGGGAGAACATGCTCTCGTTGTTCCTGCGGAGTAGCACGTGGTAGCTAGCGCGAGCAAACGCGCCACGTGTAAAAACGCGCTGCGTGCAACACCTTTTTGCGCTGCAAGTGAAAGCTGTGCTTGGGCCAAGCTGCGAGCGAGACAGGTCAAAGCGCATGACACCGAAGGTTGTCACTCTCATCCCACAAGGATTGTGTTGACCTGTCGCAGCGAGGCTGTGGAGGTGGCGCGGCCATCCTCAAAGCGCTTCTTGCGCCTTTCCCGCTGGGCCCTCCGGAGCTCTCGCCGGCGTCGCTCCGTAGTGGCCTCTTGCGCCGTCTCCTTTAGGGAGAGCATCCCCTTTTCGGAGAACTCATTCCATAGCGGATTCGCCATCCGCTTTGTCAGCCCATCGGCATATTGCCGGTAGGTTGGCACCCACTTCAAGTGGAAGGTGCTCGCCTCCAGCATCTCCCGCGTGACCATCAGGTCAAGCATTGTCTGCCGCTCGGACGGCACCTGGCCGGTGGTCCCGAGGTGGTCATAGAGCGACCGGGCATCTGTCACCATGTAGCCTTGGACCGTTAGGTCCTTCCGCCAGTCCTCGCTCAGCTTGAAGCTGCCCTGCTGCAGCATCTGCATAAGCAGCCGAGCGTAGAGGTGCCTGTCAATGGCTTGTGACATTGACGCCGCCTCAGCTGCCATCGATGAGCGGACCACGCGGGTCGACTTGGAGCTTGCAAAGTCGATCACCGCTGCCGGCTGAGGTCCATGCTCCACACCAGTATTGGCGATGAAGTGGATCTGTCCCAGCTGGGACTTGCCGTCCTTCTCCTTTCCCAGTGACGCGTCGAAGAACGTCACCAGGCACAGCTCTCCAGGGATCTTGGGATACTTGAGGGCGGCTCGCCCAGCATCCTTCTCCTGGATCATGAGCTTGTGGACCTTCAAGGCGTCCTGGTAGTCGCCGTGGGTGGTTCCTGACACCCGCTGCGCCAAGCGGCTGATCTCGTAGAGCAGGTGAGGCATCACCTGTTGCGCCGGCCACCTGAGCCTCATAACCAACTGCCGGAACTTAGTCAGGCCAGCAGCGTCCAAGATCTTCTCAGGGGCCTCCTTTGACATCTCTGGCGGGCGGATCTCCTCCACGTACTTCTTCATGGAGTCCACGAGGATGTCACCACTCCTCTGCAAGTCCACCCCCAGGAACGTAAGTGGCAGGCTCTGCCATGCCTTGATGTTGAAAAGGCTGTTGATCTGCGCCTTGAGGGCTGTAAACCTTGGATCCGTAGCTGATCCCATCAGTAGCCCATCATCCACGCGCAAACACAAGATGGCCCGCGTACCATTTCCGTCCCATGCAGCGAACGTGGCTTTGGCGATATCCAGCTCCTTCAAAGGAGTCTCAGCCAGCAGCTTGCAGGCTTTGAGGTACCACAGGCGTGGTGCTTCCGTCAGGCCATATGCCGACTTCAAAACACGGAAGAGCTGTCCGCCTGTCACTGCCTCCATTTGCTTGGTCTTTGGAAGACCTTCTGGTGGTGCTTTGACATAGATCTCCCGATCGGTGCGCTCACCGCTCAAAAATGCCGTTGTGACATCGAAAGACCAGAGCACCCATCCTCTCGCCTGAGCGATTGCCTTGGCGATCTTGGTGGCCGTGGCTCCCACTGTAGGAGCATCAGTGCGAAAACCACCCAGGTCTGGGTCACGATGACCCGGCACCACAAGCCGGGACTTGGCCACCAAAGGCAGAGTCGCTGCTGCTGCCTTGTTCGTGCGAACCATGCGAGGTGCCGCCTTGAAGATCTGGTGCCTTGGCACCTTCTTGAGCTCTGCCGGGAGCACCTTCTGCACGACCTCATTGTTCAACCACTGTTCCCATTCTTTTGCATCGCTGAGGTCGAAGGCTTTCTTCTCCTGCTCATTGAAACATCGCGGGTCGAGCTCTTTCCTATTTTGTTTCAACTTGAGGATCATCACATCATTCACCAACACATCCTTCAGCTCCTCCACCCACAACTGCTCAAACTCTCTCCTGTCCTTCGGTTCAAGACAGGCCTTATAGACCCCCGTGGGCAGTTGCACATATGTGGCTTGAGGCTTCCGTCCACGCCTCTTATACAGCATGGTCATCCCCTTCCAGTAGAAAGCCACCTCACTCTCATCTTCGTCCACCACGAAAGCATCCATGGGGTCCTCCCCGATGAGGATGGAGAGTCGTGACCTGCTAATGGCCTTTGGTGGCCTCATCAGCCTCTTCCGGGGCTTCCTGTGTATGCGCGCCGCGCTCAAGGGTAAACCCGTCAATTTCTTCAGAGTTTCGAGCTCCTCCCTGGAGACCCACTCATTGTCTGGTCCACTGGCAGCTGCCGCAGTCATGGCCTGTACGATCCACGAAGCATGGATCCTGGGCTTCTTGTTTGGCAGTCCTGCATCATCCTCCGTCAACTTCCGCTTGATGGAGATGGGCACGTCGTCCATGAGGCGCTGCCTCCTACGTTCAGGTTCTTCTTGTCTCATCCTCCCAGTCACAGTCATCTGCTGGTACTGGGATCTCATGGGGCTCCAAAACTTGCTCCACCGGCTCTTCTGCATCCATCGGTTCATCCTCCTTGACCTCTTCACCAGGGTCTTCAGGAGGAACTGGGGCTTCTGTCGGAGTGTACTCCTCATCAACCTCCTCTTCTTTCTCCGGCTTCGCTTCCGGCTGCGGCTCCAGTTTCCGTTTTCTTGAAAGACGTGGAGCATGGATGCCCCGCTGTCTCAATAGCCGACTAACGGCCTTGGAGCCTCGCAACATCCTCCGAGCCTGCTTCCTCTCCGGATTGGTCTACTTGCTGGTGGTCGTAGCGACGCAAGTCCTGATAGGAGTTGCTCCTCGCTGGATCCCGGAGCACCCCTTGAAGATCAATAATCTCTTCCCTCACTGGCTCAGTGAGTGCCAGCTCATCCTTGGAAGCCAGCAACAGCAGCCTGCCCCTCCAAGAAATAAAATACCTCTTGGTGGCCTCCTTGACTACCACCGTCGCTGGACCCCGCCAGGTGCCGCCTGGCTTGTAACGAGCTCTCTGGCTCGGGACCCAAAAGTAGACCCTGCTCCCTGGCATGAAGGGTCCTTGGGAAACTGCTGGTTTCTTGTCTTGCACATCTTGACGCACGAGCGCCACTCGGGCCGTGACCCTCATCCGATGTGCTCGGGCTGCTTCTGTCTCTGTTGACATACCTTCCAAGTAGCTCAGCCCAGGGTTCTCCTCTGTCAAGCTGGGCCACGTGCACTCCACCCCAAACAGCCGTTGGTTCGGAGTGTAGCCATCTCGAGTCACAGTGGCGTTCTTCGCCATGCAGGCACATCCCAGTGCCTCCTTCATGGCCGCGTAGCCCTCAACGGTGTGCTCTGCCACCACGCTGTGAAGGGCCTGGCCCAGCAGATCTCCATGGCGTTCGCCGACGCCCAACTGCCATCCTGCATGAGCTCCTGTCACCTTGGAGCTTACACTGAACTGCTCCAAGAGACCCACAAAAGCTCCTTCGAATTCTCCTCCTTGATCATGAACGATCAACTCTGGGCTGCCATACGGCTGGATCCACTTGCGCAAGAATTTGGATGCCACGTAGTCACTCCTGCGGGTCTTGATCATGTGCGCATCATGTTTGCAAGTGCCCAGATCCAGAATGCTCAAAGCCGCATAGCGCTTCCCCCTAGCGTCCCAGAGATACTTCACATCGATGTGGAGGGTCTTGTTGAACCCGTAGGGCCTGGTGGTGGCGGTCGTTGCCTGCGGGTGTTTTGGCATTTGTCGAGCCATGCAAACACTACACTTCCACTTCTTGGCATAGCGGATAGCATCTGATGTTGCGCCACTCAACTTCATCATCCGCACCAGAGTGGACCGCGATGGATGTCCCAGCTGTCTATGGGCGAACTCCACCACCTTCTGCACCTCCCAATGCCTCTCATCCTCTTCTGGCTCCTCCTCCAGGTCTGAGTCCAGTGGCGGTTCTCTCTCTTCACCATCTCCACCGCCATGCCGTTCCATCTCCATCTCCAGATCATCTTCCAGATCACGCTCTTCTTCCTCCTCTATGGCCTCATGGCCATCGATGATCTGGTGAGAACTTCGAAGCCACTCCTCACAACCCCTCAGCAGGGCTTTGCATAGAGCCTGCCCATACCCTCCAGCCCAGACACTCAATGACATCCACTTGCCATTGGCCTGTCGGAAACCACCTTCGATGTGTTGACGTTGATGGCTTCCATCGCACTGGGCCTGAGCCAGGTACCTCATGGCAGACGTCTCACCCCTCATTCCGAATGGGGCATTTGGTAGTTGGGTGCCTTAAACCCAACATGCACTGGTCAAAATCGACCTGCCCAGCGCCGCTGAAGGCTTCCGCAATCTCGGGCGTCTTCCAGGCTTTGGACTTGGCTGGATTCTCCCCGAAAACCAAACGCCCCCGATTGCGCTGCCACAGCACCACGCGCCGCGTGAACCGTAGCAGGGTCCTCCTGGACTGCATCCTCCTCTGGTGCAAGGCTTCTCGCTGCTGGGGTGTTCGCATGTTGGCGTTCTGCATGATCGACCAAGGACCACAGGGCCATGCGACCATCACCACATCCGGATCCACCTCCTGCAGGTACCGGACTGCCTTTTCCTGCACGCCGGGGCTCTCCAGATCCCAACCAGAATCCAGCGTCACCGGCTCATACGTGCTCCACCCCTTATCGCATGCCACCTGAGTCAAGGCACACGCGCAGGTGAAGATCTCCAGGATCCGCCAAGGTCCCGGTCGCCGCCGGCTCATCTTCTCCCTTGGAATCTTGTTGTGGGCTTCCTTCTCCGCCACCTCCGACACCTTTAGCAAGCGACGGCGCTGTCCTTTGTTGAGGATCTCCGTGTCACCGGGCAGATCAGCCCCCAGCACATTGGCTTCTTCCTGGGATCCTTCCGAGTCCGTCTCTCCATCACTTGGCTCGTCTGGGCCATCCTCGTGGCTTGTCTCCGATTCTCCTTCACTGATGGAGCCATCACTCGCGGACTCATCTTCTGGCGCTGCCAGAGCCAGCAGGGCTTCACCTTCCTGCTGTGCTAGCACATGATCCAGGCACATGATGGCTTCGTCCTCCATGGTCTCTTGCCACATGGCCAGGTCATGGCATTCATCGGATCGGGATCTGCCGGCGCTGCCAGCTCCTCCTCTTCTGTTGTGTCCCCCGTCTCCTCCGGCCCTTGCTGTAGGAGCGCCAGGCTGTATGGATCCTTAAGCAGTGTCTCCTTCAACGCCGTCATCTCTGGTGTGAGCCAGGCTTCAGCCGGACCTTCCGGCAACACGCGAAGCACTGGATGACGGGTGTCTGACAACTGAGTCTCCGCCACATGGCCAGCGATCTCAGTCACACCTGCGCTGAAGTTCATGGAGACCCGCCATCGAGCCATCTCGCTCGGACCAACCAAAGCTGGGCATTGCTCCACACGGTGATCAGAGGCTGTGTTGCAAACCTCCGCCAACCGGAGCCAGGTGACCTCACCACTGTCACCAAGACGGATCGGGTACACATAGGCCGTAGTCGAAATGACGGCTCGCCAGCTCCGAAGCGGAAAGTCTCATGGTGCTGGACCACGAAGTAGGGCGCTTCAGCTCCTCCTGGAAGTTGCGATGCCAGATGGCACCTGCGACCGCCGTCCGACACCCCGTGTCGAGGATCACTTGCATGGCGCCGCCACGCAACAACCAGGTGGGCTCTGCCTCCTCCTCGTCCATCATCAATGCACCATGCTCCATGCTGTAGTAGAGCACCTTCCGCAAGTGGCATTTCCTGCAGGTTGCCCAATGAGCTGCTTGGTTCGCTCCCCACCGGAGGTCCGCCCAAGCGTGAGGGCATGCTGCCTGCTCTGCCGTCGGAACCTCGGATGCGTCCGATGGCCGGACACGTCCTCGCCTGTCCAAGCTATTCTGGTAAAGGCCGATGCGGAACTCCTTCAGTCTCTTCTTCCGAACCGCATCTGGCAGCTTGGACTCTGACTGGGATGCCGGCGGCTCGCCAGACAATCCCGCACTCGACGACGCTGCCGTCGCTGTTGAAGGTCCTGCAGCTGTGGGCTTCGGCTTGGGCTTGCTCGAATACGTGTAACCACCACTGCGATGTCCTGGCCGAGTCAACTTCTCCTGGTCATACTCCGGGATGTGGTCAGCTGCTGTCCCCTCAACCTCCTGCTTCAGGGCTTTGTACAAGGCCTGCTTCTCCACTGGCGACATGTGCGGCAGCACCTGGAGAAGCTCCTTCGGGCTCAAATCCAACTCCATGGGCCTGGATTCCGAAGCGTGCTTCTTTGGTGACTCCTTGACCTTCTGAAACCGCTTCTCCTCCTCTCGAGCTGCCTTGTACTCCTTCTTCCGGAGTCGCTGCTGGGTCTCTTCGTCATCTTCTTCAGCAATCAGTGCCTCCAGCACAGTCTTGAGAGCCAGCCGATGCTTCTTCAACTTGTCGGCCTTGTCCTTCTCCGGAGTGATCGGCCCGCTCGAGAACGGGAGCACGTCTTGTGGCTCCTCAGGCTCTTCCTCCTCTTCCTCAGGGGAGTCATAGGCCTCGAAGAGATCCCATCCGTCAGCTGAGAACACAGGGAAGGTCCAGTTCACACGATGAACTCGTGTGCTTCCCTCCGTCTTGACGGATGCGGGAGAGCCTTCCGCCGAGGTGAAGTTCACCTGCGTGCCACCAGTCCCCGGCTGACGAGGCGGGTCCTTCCCATTCTTGACGTTGGGGCATTCGGCGTCGCCATGCCAGTGGCCGTATTGCTTGCACGAGGCACACTGGCTCTTCTTCTTCCTGTCATCCGTACTCCGGCGATCACCCCTGCCCTTTCCTTTTGAACTGCCACCCTTGCTCGAGTGGTAGCCTCGGGCCTTCCGCTGATCTGCTGACTTCTGCTTCGCCCTCCATCCAGAGGCATATGCTTCCTTCAGATCATCAACGTCAGCCAGATCCTCTTCCTCATCTTCTTCCACTGAGAAGTGCCCCTCATCATCCTGCTCCTCTTCCTGCCAGAGGGCTTCCTGCTCCAGGTCCTCCTCATCCGCGTCGTCCTCCTCTTCCTCGTAGGAATAGGGTTCATCTTGCGTATTGGGCTCGACTGGCTCTGCCAGATGGGATGAGTGCTGACTGGACCTGTAGGGCTTCCGATCTCCACCTCGCCGAGGTTGGAACTGCTTCTTCCGTGGAATAGGGGCGCGGCCCTTCTCATCCAAGATCCTGTAGCTGCTTCTGTCTCCTGTGGATGTCTTCTTCTCCTCCGTGTGTAGATTGCTGCAGCGAAACCTCATCACCTGCTCAATCTTGCTGCTGTTGTACTTGCCACCGCTGGAGAAGAAGATGTCCATCCTCTCACGGCGTGTCAAAGCCGCCCGAGACAGTAGCCTCTGCGCAAACGACTTGTCGGAGATCGTGGTCTCCGTGTCCTCCTTGAGGTACTCACCTCGAAGCCTGTTCAAGGTCGAGATGTAGGCCGCGATGCTCTGCAGGGCCAGGTGCCCTCCTGTATGCCAGATACTCCTCTTGCTTCTGTTCGAAGCGTTCCTCGGCTCTGGCGCCGAAGGATTCCTCGAGGAGCCGCATGATCCGGCCTAAGCCTCCAGGCTCTTGCATCTCGCTAACTTCAAGTTGATTCAGGATTTGGCGCGGCTCTCCCTGGCAACTGAGATAGATGGCGCATGGCCAATTCCGCATCCTCCAACTTGTAGAGATTGCTTTGGGCCTCGATGATACGCTTCCAGTCGCGGTAATGCGATCGGCTTCCCCTGAAAGTCTCGATGCGCACCTGGGACAGCGAAGGCTTGGAGCGATCCCCCGGCTTTCGCTCCTTCTGGAGGAGCATCTCCCGAATCTCTGAGGTCCGGGCAGCCGAGCTTGTCTCAGAGCCTTCCGAAGCTGCCCTTCCTCCTCGGCGTCGCCGCGCCTTGGGCTTCGGGTCTGGCCTTGCAGCCGGGCGTGCCAGCTGGTCTCAACTCACCCTGTTCCTGCTGTCGTGGCCTCTGTTTGGCCTTCGCCTTGCCCTTGGCAGCCGCTCCGAGGGCTGAAGCGCTCCTCTCACTAGGCTCAACGATCGGGTCGTTCGTTGGCCTGGATTCCTCCGGGCCGACTTCGGCTTCTTCCTCCTCCTCTTCACCATAAGAGGAGTCATAGTCGCCTGACTCATTGCTATCTCCTGGCGGTGGTGGATTCACCCTCTGCTTCTTCTTCGGTTGTACTTTTGGAACCGGCGTTGATGAAGTGCCACCGGAACCTCCACCACCCGGATTGGCCTTTGCCTGTGGTGCAGCTGCCGCCTTCGGCGGAGGACCTTGCGGCTCAGCCGGCTTTGCAGTTCGGGACACACATGGGGTAGCTGGTCCCAGCGTCCATGCATGGCCACTCCAGTACTTCCAGCTGCCATCCGGTTGTCCATACCAGCCTTCCAGAGTTGGATACATAGGCTGTTGCATCTGCTGGAGCTGCATCTGTTGTTGCCATTGCTGGGCCTGTAGCTGTTGCTGCTGTGCCATGAACTGCTGTTGTTGAGCGCTGAGGGCATTCTGCACGGCCTGGTTGATCATGTCTTGCATGTCCATCTCCTTGCGCTTACCTTCGCCCTGATGCTCCGTCGGCTCATAGTTCCAGGAGTTCTCCCCTTCTTACCTTTCTGCTGGCGTTCATCGCCCTTCCTGGATGCAGACCGTCCCTTGGACTTGCCCTTTCGGGAACCACCTTTGCTGCTAGAGCCGCCCTTGTCACGCTTGCCTTTGTCTTTGCCCTTGTCTCTGCCCTTTGGAGGCACTGCCTCATCGGATCCCTTCCGAGCTCTGCTCTGGGTCCGGCCTCGGCTCGAGGCTCGATGGTCGCCGCCATCGGAGTGGGATGGGCGAGCTTTGCCGTCATCCTCGGAGGTGTTCCAGTCTGGCACCTCCGGGCCATCCGCCATGGCCCTGAGCGGTCGCTGAAGCGAAACCGCTCCGCTACCAATGCGGAGTAGCACGTGGTAGCTAGCGCGAGCCACGTGTAAAAACGCGCTGCGTGCAACACCTTTTTGCGCTGCAAGTGAAAGCTGTGCTTGGGCCAAGCTGCGAGCGAGACAGGTCAAAGCGCATGACACCGAAGGTTGTCACTCTCAGTTCCATCACACTTGCTCAGGTCTCAACTGAAATATCTATGGAGGTGCTCAAGTAGGTAGGAAGCGCACTTGGGGTCCACCATTCTATCTGATCTCGCTGTCATTTCGTGTCCAAGTCACTGGTCCTCGTCATGCGCTAGCGAAGCCATGGCACTGGAGCTTTTGGAGGAACAAAATCCAAGCTGAGGAAAGAAACCAGGCCTAATAAGTCTCTTCTTTGATCCTAAGTGAAAATAGATCAAATGCAAAAGTAAAAAAAAAGTGCTGACTAGGACAGCCTCTAGGCCCAACCCCCAAACCATCACAGAGGTGGTACAGTAGGTCGTTTAATCTGATTGCGCTCTTCAAGTTTAATCTATGTTGGGAGTGGGCATGACGTGGAACAACGAGCCCTGTATTTGGTGAATTAAGTAGCCCCCAAAACAACCGCTCACTCATTGTGTCTTTGTGTGAGTATCAGCGTACATGCATGCCTTGCTTCGACATGGAAGCGTCGGATAATCTTTCTTACTCACAGACAATATCCGCTTGTCCCAAGAACATGAAACAAGAACCCAGACTAGAACTATGTCATGGGGAGTGTCAAGGCAAAAAACATCTACAAGTAGGAGAAATGCTACTGTATGTTTGACATCAGCAATCCATTTCAACAGTTTGAGAACAACTCTCTCAGCGGTAAAGCCCATCCCGCCAGATCCACTGACACGTTGGTGGATGGCGTGATCAAGCATTCGCGGTCCAGAAGAACCTGCCACAAACCCGCGCACAAACGAAACAAACTAGGAACAAAGCAGCTTCTCAGTCCAGGTTGATCTTCGCCAGATACAAAAGCGGCCATGAACACAACACAGTTGGGCCTCGTACGATTCGCCCGGCTGCAACCTTGGATCAGGCTCTCTGACAGTACACTGGCGGTTGCAGAGGAACTCAAGTGCAAAGTCATGTATATCTATCCAAGCCATAAAAAAGCAATTCTTAGTGCTGCTGCTAGTCGCCTACTATTGGGGGATTCCTAGTGTTGTGAACGAAGACCCAAGAAAGAAAACTGCCTTTGCGATCTTCACAACCGGAGCCGGAGCAGAACAAATTTTCCTCCGGCCAAATGTGAAGACAAATCAAAGCTCGGCTGCATAGAACGGTCGTGCAAAACTGCCTTTGAATGAAAAACAATGAATCCTGTTCATGTGTGATTTGTCTGTGCCGCTGGAATTCTTGGGCGCTCATTGCCAGCGTATACCTCATGTTAGATATCGGTCACCCGTCCTAGTTGATTGCCAATAAATTGCAGCGCGGCCCTCACTGCATCAGTTGATGCCATGTTCTGCGCACAGGCCAACCGGTGAGACCGCGGGCCTGATCCCTTCCCTCATTTTTGCAGGAATGCGCGACTGGTGGAACTCTGCGTTTTCATCACGTGGGTCAAAGAAGTACTTCTGCATCTATTTGCATAGTCGCATCTCAACTCAGAGTCGCCCAGAAGAACAGTTTTCAACAAGCCTGTGGGGATAGGAAGTCCTCTGGCACCAGTGGCCTGTGGCATCTCCGCTCACCAGCTGTCATCACAAAGCTGCGTGTTGCCCTGGTCCTGGCACATATGGCTTAGCAGTCGGGGATTGGGATGGATGTTACTGCTTTGGCACAACCAAAAAGAAGGAAGTAGTGCTTTGGGTACAGAATTTGGAAATAGTGCCCCGCCCATAGCCTAAAATGACTGTTGAGAGAAGCAAGACTGGACATTCTTTAAAGATCCTCTTTGCATCTCTTTGCTATCTGGCAAACATTCAGAAGGCTCCTATTCCCTTGTCTACAAGTCTACAAGTGCGTCATGCAGCGAGGACTGAACAGGTGTGTGGCAAAACATGTGATTGTGGATGACGGAAGAAAGACTTGAAAACACAAAAAAAAGGTGAGGCCCCCTCTGAAAAAAAAAACCTTACCTTCCGTTTTTCAGCGCTTCCTTTATTTGGATATTTAAATATATATACACATACATATACATAATACCTTTTACCAGTATGCAAAATCTCCCAACAAATGAAAGCTGCCCCCTGACCTTGTAAGTCCTAAAAACGATGCTTTTCCTGGACTGAAGTCTCATGCATGCGAGTCTCCCCTCATCTGCAACGGCACTATTCACTACGTTGACACCAGCTTGGAACACAGTCCTTGGGCAAGAAGCGGCCGGTGAAGTAGTAGTTGGAGTGCAGGAGAGGGCCTTTGCCACACATGATCTGACTCCGGGGAGAAGCGCTCTCTGAAGATGAAAACCTGTTTTGTACTGTGTTGGGAACAGAAGCCGAAGCATCCCTGCGACCTGTGAACCCTGTATAAGGTATCAGAATCACTGCTCTGAAAAGCACAAGCGCTTCATAGTCATTAGAAGCATGGGTAGTCTGCCAAGGGGCCAAAGCTCGTGAGGAAGGTGCTGAAAATGATCTCAGTGAAAGGCACTTAGGTCACCACCATATCAAACAATTGGCCAAATCCTAATTCTTTGCCCGCAGATTATCTGAATCTCAACAGTCAACAAACAATTGACACGTGGCCCGTTGGTTCACTGTGAAATCTAAACCAAAAAGAATCCCCCTGGAATCATTTGAAAAAATCTAGAAATTGGCGAGAAAACTTCCATTTTTTCTCAATGTGCAATGCTTCGATCTGCTTCGGCGTTCTGCAAGGCAAGGTACGCCCCAGAACAGATACTCGCCAATTGGGCTGTGCATCCTGCACCTGAGGGATAATTCTGGCTGTGAAGCTTCTCTCAAATTAACAAGTCTCCATTCAGTGGAGCCAAGGCCCACAAGCTAAAGAATGCCTAAGGATCTTTGAGGGTATGTTCATCCTACCGCGATTGAACAGAATCCCTGCAAGCACAGCCATGGCACGTGAACTCGGCAAAGTCGAAATGGTCCTCCAAAGGAATAGTGGGCAGGTACGAGTACAGCCTCTGTACCTATGTAATTGTACAAGTATACCGTATACTGTAGACCTTACACTTGCGACCTTTCAATATACAGTACCTCTCAGCGTACGACCCAACTTCGGGTATCATCCAATCGGTGGAAGCCGAAGCAAGCCAAGTACTTCGTGATGGTAGGTTACTAGGGTTACTAGGGGCTCCTGGCCTTACTACTAAGAACAAGGACGCTACTAGGGGCTCCTGGCCTTGCTACTAGGAGCAAGGACGCTACTAGGGGCTCCTGGCATCGCTACTAGGAGCAAGGACGCTACTAGGGGCTCCTGGCCTTACTACAAGGAACAAGGACGCTACTAGGGGCTCCTGGCCTTACTACTAGGAGCA